AAATGAGCTCGCGGGCTCCCGTTTCCTCGCGTGTAAATCTGTTTTCCTCTCGCGGAAGTGATTTACCGCGCGCGCCAGCATCAGTGGTGCGCTTGGTTATTAATGGCATAGGATTGCCGCCATACATATTAGTCAAACGTATATTAGAAATGGCTAAGAATGGGGTGCTTGGATGATTTGTACAAATAAATAACCTAGTAGTCTGTCTGTCTATCTAAATACAACATATTATAGCCTAGCCTGTATGTTTTTTTAGACACGCTGCATATAAAAGATCAATTTTATGTCATATTATGTCAGATACCTCAACTGAATTTAAAATCAGTGCAATGAATTCTCAATCTGTACAATGATGCCGATAAGTAACAATATGTTTCCTATTAAATCAACATCAAATGCTAAATGTAAATGATGCACAAGATATAACACAATAAATGCTGTGATAGAATTCTGTACTTAGATTTTTTTTTTCATGAAAACCCACTTCATATTATCTACACATTCAATGGCACTCTCCTCTAAGACAGTGAAAATACAGTTATATGACAGTTACAGATAACTACATTGTCTGCAAATTTATTAAACCCATAGAATATAATGATATTATGACACATATGAGAAATTCGTTACGGTGGTAAATTTGGTCTCCACATTTTAGTTAATTAGGAAATAGTGCATCTGACCCTGATCTAAATATTTCTGTCTTAAATCAAAAGATATTTTTTTATATATATATATTTCAACCTAAGTACACAAGTCATGTATGAACACAATGCATTTTACGAATCATTTTTATTTGTTTAGATAAATCGCTTAGAGGGGTTTGGCCAACCAGTTATACAGACTAGGTTATTTGTACAAATCATCCAAGCACCCCATCCCTAGCCATTTCTAATACACTTTTGATTAAAATGGCTAAATATTATTACATTGTAAAGAAATTGCTGACCCATCTATGATTGTCCAATGAATTCCAGGTGCAGTTCCCTCTCAGCCAATTAGATTTCACGTAGCATTTTCATCGGTCAGTGAGGGAGGACATGTTTGCTAGCGCCACCGACTGGACAGCGCATTAGGCTACTTTGTACAAATCACCCAAGCACCCCATTCTTAGCCATTTCTAATATACTTTTGATTAATATAGCTAAATATTATTAAATTGTAAAGAAATTGTAGATCCATCTATGATTGTCAAAAGAATTCCAGGTGCAGTTCCCTCTCAGCCAATTAGATTTCACGTAGCATTTTCATCGGTCAGTCGTGGAAATCTGATTGGTGGATAACTTTTGACAACGTTTAGTCCAGGTGTGAAAATAATTCATTTCCAGTTCACAGGACACAGTATGAGTGTGCACACACGCACACTTCGAGCGAGAGGAGAGATTCGAGATCGCAACGGACACGTTTTAAGTGCGCGCGTACTCTCTGGGTGAGAGCAGAATATATCTGAGAGCGCGCATCTGGTTTTGTGCGAGAGCTAGTGATGCAAAGTCCGATTCATTTCCGCAAACCGGTACTTTTCAGACAGATCGGCTTATTGAACCAGTTCAAAAAGCCGATTCATCGGTTCCTGACGTCATCAAGCAATAACGTCTCTAC